GATGGTTGAGCGTCTGAGGGTCCTGGGATCGATTCTCGCATCGGGCTCCTTGCTCCCCCGGGGAGTCTGCTTCTCCCTCTCCCTCTGCTGCTCGTGCTCTCTCTCTGTCAAATAAATAAAATCTTTTAAAAAGATAGTAATAGGGCGCCTGGGTGGCTCAGATGGTTGAGCGTCTGCCTTCAGCTCAGGTCATGATCCCAGGGTCCTGGGATCGAGTCCCGCATCGGGCTCTCTGCTCCTTGGGAGCCTGCTTCTCCCTCTGCCTTTCTCTCTCTTTCTCTCTCTCTGTCTCTCATGAATAAATAAATAAAATCTTAAAAAAAAAAGACAAAATATGCCCTCTTTTTTATTTTTTTTATTTTTTATTTTTTTAAAGATTTTATTTATTTATTTGAGAGAGAGAGAGAATGAGAGAGAGCGAGCACATGAGAGGGGGGAGGGTCAGAGGGAGAAGCAGACTCCCCGCCGAGCAGGGAGCCCGATGCGGGACTCGATCCAGGGACTCCAGGATCATGACCTGAGCCGAAGGCAGTCGCTTAACTGACTGAGCCACCCAGGCGCCCAAAATGGACCTTTTTTTTTTTTTTAATTTTATTTATTCATTTATTTGAGTGAGAGAGAGAGAGAGAGCACATGAGAGGGGGAGGGTCAGAGGGAGAAGCAGACCCCCCGCCGAGCAGGGAGCCCGATGCGGGACTCGATCCCGGGACTCCAGGATCATGACCTGAGCCGAAGGCAGTCGCTTAACCGACTGAGCGACCCAGGCGCCCTGGCCTCTTTTTTAAGTGCAGATTTCCTTCTCTCTCCTCCTGAGGGACATCTGGGTTGTTTCTAGTCTGTTGCCATAGAGCTTCCATAAACATTCCTGCCTAAGTCCTTGTGTGCAGATGCGTTTTCCTTGCTCCTGGCTGAACGGCTAGGAGTGGAGTTGCTGGGTCGTGCAAGAAGTGTATTTTAACTTTACAAGAAACTGCTAAACTGGTTTCCAAAATGGTAGTTCCGTTTTGCATCGCCCATATCGAGGGATGTTAGTTCCAGTTGTCCCGCAGCACGGCCAGCACATGACGCTGTCCGTCTTTCCAGGGTGAGCCGTTCTAATGAGTGTAAAGTGGTAAATCACTGCAGTTTTATCTGCATTTCTCTGATGCTTCATGATGTTGACCGTGTTTCGTGTGCTTATTGGCCATTTGTATATCTTCTTTTGCAAAGTGTCTGTTCTGGTCTGTGCCTAATTTTTATTTATTTTATTTTTTTAATTAATTAATTTATTTTTTTAAGATTTTATTTATTTGACAGAGAGAGAGACACAGCGAGAGAGGGAACGCAGGGGGAGTGGGAGAGGGAGAAGCAGGCCTCCCGCGGAGCAGGGAGCCAGATGCGGGGCTCGATGCGGGGCTCGATCCCAGGACCTGGAATCATGACCTGAGCCGAAGGCAGACGCTTAACGGCTGAGCCACCCAGGCGCCCCTGTGCCTAATTTTTAAAAAAACATGTTGTCTTATCATTGAATTATGAGTTTTTAATGTATTTTGTATTTTTACTTTATTTTCTAATTTTTTTAGGTGGGCTCCACGCCTGACATGGGGCCTGAACTCAGGATCCTGAGATCAAGAGTGGAAGGCTCTCCCAACCAAGCCAGCCAGGCGCCCCTATATTTAGGATGAAAATCCTTTATCAGATACATGTATCACAAACACTTCCTCACTGAATGGGGCATGTGTGTTTAAAATAATGGCGCTTTGGGGACGCCTGGGTGGCCCAGTCGGTTAAGCGTCTGAGGGTCCTGGGATCGATTCTCGCATCGGGCTCCTTGCTCCCCCGGGGAGTCTGCTTCTCCCTCTCCCTCTGCTGCTCGTGCTCTCTCTCTGTCAAATAAATAAAATCTTTTAAAAAGATAGTAATAGGGCGCCTGGGTGGCTCAGATGGTTAAGCGTCTGCCTTCGGCTCAGGTCATGATCCCGGGGTCCTGGAATCGAGCCCCGCGTTGGGCTCCCTGCTCCACCGGGAGTCTGCTTCTCCCTCTGCCTCTGTCCCCTCCCTGCTCGTGCTCTCTCTCTCTCTCCCCGTCAGATAGATAAATAGTCTTTTTTAAAAAAGTCAGAGAAAGACAAATATATGATTTCACTTACAAGCAGAATCTAAAAAACCAAAATGAACAGGGATGTCTGGGTGGCTCAATCGGTTAAGCCTCTGACTCTTGATTTCGGCTCAGATCATGATCTCAGGGTCCTGAGATCGAGCCCAGCTCAGAGGCTGCTTAAGATTCTCTCTCTCCCTCTCCCTCTGCTCCCCACATTCTCTCTCTCTCAAAAACAGAATGGACAAACAAAGCATGAACAGACACCTAAGTACAAAACGTGGTTGCCAGAGAGTGGGGGCAGGGGATGGGCAAAATGCGTGGAGGGGAGTTGGAGGTCCAGGCTTCCGGTTATGGAAGGAATAAGCCATGGAGATGAAAGGTTCAGCGTGGGGATTATAGTCAGTGGTACTGGAATAGCGTCGTTTGGTGCCGGGTGTCACACTCGTGAGCACAGCATAATGGACAGACCTGTCCAATCACTGTCCGATCACCTAAAACCAAGGTAACATTGTGTGTCAACTGTACTTCAATTAAAAGAAAAAAGTTAGGGGAGCCTGGGTGGCTCAGTTGGTTAGGCGGCTGACTCTTGGTTTCTGCTCAGGTCATGCTCCTCAGGGTCGTGGGGTCGAGCCCGGAGTAGGGCTCCGAGCTCCGTGGGGAACCTGCTTGAGATTCTCTCTCCCCCTCCCCTTCCCCAGCTTGTACTCTCTCTCTTTCTCTAAAGGAAGTAAATCTTTAAAACAAAATAAAAGAAAAAAGTAGACCCAAGAGAATTGAAAACAGATGTCCACACAGACACCTGTATGTGAACGTCCGTAGGAGCAGTATTCAAATAGCCGAAACGGAGGAACAGCCCAGTGTCCATCAACTAACGAATGGATACCCGAAATGTGGCGTAGCACAGCGGAATACTACTCAGCCGTAAAAAGGAATAAAGTACGAACACGTGCTACAACAGGGACGAACCTTGAAAACAGGATGTTCAGTGAACACAGTCAGACGCAAAGGACCACATAGTGTAGGAGTTCATCTATGCGGCATCCGTGGAGACAGAAGGTAGGTTAGTGGTGGCCACCAGCCGGGGAGGAAGAGAACAGGGGGGTGACTGGCCGGGGGCACGGGGTCTCTTGAGGGTGATGAAAATGTTATAAAATCAGTTGCGATGTCTGCACAGCTGTGAATATAGCAAAAACCACCGACTTGTATACTTTTAAAGGGTGAATTTTACGGTATGTCATTTATATCAATAAAACGGTTATTACAAAAAGCACAAGGAAACTGCAAATACATACAACCTGGGTGAATGTCAAAACCATTATGCCGGCAGAAACCGGACGGGCACAAGAAAGTTAACACGATATGATTCATTTATATAAAGTTCTGAAACCGGCAGAGCTGATCTTTACGGATTGAACTGAGATCAGCGGGCGCCTGTGGCTGGGGGAGGGGACAAGGTTGACAGCAAGGCACGTTAAGGGGAGTTGGTGACGGAAACGTCCAGTATCTTGACTGGGTGGTTGTCTCCTAGGTGTATACCTTTGTTACGACTCCTAGAACTGTACGCAGATGTGTGTATTCACGTGCATGGAGATCTGTGCTTCCATCAGGTTGTTTTAGAAATATGAAACAGGGCGCCCGGGTGGCTCAGTCGGTTAAGCGACTGCCTTCGGCTCAGGTCATGGTCCTGGAGTCCCGGGATCGAGTCCCGCATCGGGCTCCCTGCTCGGCAGGGAGTCTGCTTCTCCCTCTGACCCTCCCCCCTCTCATGTGCTCTCTCTCATTCTCTCTCTCTCAAATAAATAAAATCATGGGGCGCCTGGGTGGCTCAGTCGGTTAAGCGACTGCCTTCTGCTCGGGTCATGATCCTGGAGTCCCGGGATCGAGTCCCGCATCGGGCTCCCTGCTCAGCCAGGGAGTCTGCTTCTCCCTCTGATCCTCCTCCCTCTCATGCTCTCGGTCTCTCATTCTCTCTGTCTCAAATAAATAAATAAAATCTTAAAAAAAAAAAAAAAAGAAATATGAAACAGATTTCTAAGTCGGACAGTAGGGGATACCCTCAGGGAAGGGTGGGATCACATTCGCACAGCCCTCCCGGGCTGGGGGGCATTCAGAGTCCTTGCCGCGGGCGCTCTGGCCCCCCAGGCCTGGCTGAGGGCCTCAGTGCCTGAAGGTCGCCCTGTGGGGTTCAGAGTGGACGGGTCAGCCTGGCGGGGGTAAGAAGTTCCGGCTCTAACTGCCTGCGTGACCTTCGGCAAGTTGCCAAAGGATCTCCATGTCTCCAGCTCCTCTGCTGTGGAAGCAGGACGGTAATAATGCGCATCTCCGAGGACCGCGGGCAAGATGAAATAAAGTAACGTGTACAAGTCCCTTGAATCTGCCCGGGACAGCCTCGCGAATCAACAACAACCGTCTTCCGAGAAGGGTACAAGAGGTACCAGACCGTTCAGCGAGAACCAAACGTTTCCCTGCCCTGCACAATGTCTCCTTCTACAAAAATAGACCGTTCTCTAAACTCTCAGATCTCGGGCGTTCTGGATTCTCATTCCAGAATACACATGAGCCCCCGGCAGTGTCCAGGCTGGGACTGAGTCGGCCGGCTTTGCCACGATGTGTCCGTGTGTCCCAGCCCCTCGGTGTCTGTCTCTGCCATCCACCCCTCCCAGCGTCCTCCTGCTTCTCCCTGCAGACCAGAGAGCGCCCCAAGTGGAGGGGGCACAGAAGGATAGGTGTTTGGATGGGGTGCCCGTCCACCTCTTTCCTCCTCCCTCTTCTTCTCCTTCCATCCCCTGGCGCCTGTAATCACCAGGCGGTCTGAGGCTAAGTGGTAGTTTGGCCCACACTGGGGGGGCTTGGAAGCCACACCCCTCCTCCTGGGGCCCTCCTGGCCGTTCCCAGCATCCCGGTCGCCTCCACTGTTGAGATGGGTCTCAAGGGGGCATGGTGTTTCCCATGGTGTGGGTGCCGGAGACAGCGGGGGACTGCAAGAGGAGCAGGTACGGAGGGGGAGACCGAGGAAAACGGGTGGACACGCTCACTCTGGGGAGAAAGGTAAAGGCTCAAGGCAGTGAAGGGAAAAGAATCATTTGTTTTCCTGGGTGGGAGGTGGACTTCTCCATAGGACTGCCCGATGCAAAATGAGGAAGAGAAGCCCCCTGGTAAAAAAAAAAAAAAAAAAAGTTAACACCTTCAAGATTGACAGCAGAGCATCCCGGGGAGCACGGGGGCCCTCCGCGTGTGAGGCCCGGTGACCACTGCTCTCTCTCTGCGACCCCTCTCCCTGCCCCAGGGCCCTCCCTGGCCTCTTCTCTCCTCGCTGCAGGGAAGGAAGGAGAACGCTGACCCACAATAGCCTTCTTCCTCCTCCAGTCTCCTTTGCAGGCCTGGATCCCGCTGTCCGTCCAGATCCAAATCCCAGCCCGGCCCCCATCACGGCCGAGGGAGGGGTGCCGTCCTTGGGGTCTGGCGCCTACTTCAGCCGGAAAGCCCGACTCTCCTTCCGTCACCAGCTGCATGACTTCGCATCCGCCAACGACTCCACCATTTAACGGGGACAACCAGGGGCTGAACTTCCAGGAAGCTTGGCAACCTCCCCTCCCCAGTCTTCTCCGTGATCCGTCCGGACCCCCGTCCCTCATGACCTTGTCGTCAAATATACTCAGAGTTGCCCAGTGTTGTGTGCATGTTGGGGCTGGGGGGGTGGCGGTGGTTAGGGGCTGGGTCCTGGGGCCGAGGCAGGGAGGGCGGCACGTAGGGGAGGGGACGTGGGGCAGGTGAATATGACGCAGCTGATCTCACGGGGAGCCCGGGTGGGGCCTGCAGAAGCGGGTGTGGGGTGTGCCGAGGTCAAGCTCAGAGTGGAGGGTGGTGAGCTGTTGGGGGCTGGAGGCCGGACAGGACCGGGGCTGAGGCGAGGGCGCACATTCGTTACTCCCTGGCAGGCAGTGAGGGCGCATCGGTGGACCAAGCAGAGAGCCTGCCCTTCTCAGACAGTAAATAAACACAGGAGCTGGGAGAGAGCGCGGCGAACGCTGCTACGGGGCAAATGACACGGTACCGCGAGAGCCGGGTGGAGGGGGCGCTTCCGGAACCCCAGGTAGTCAGGGAGGAGCTGCTGCTAAGGTGGCATTTGAGCTGAGACCCGAACGGCAAGGAGCCAAGTGAAAACTGGGAACCCCTGTGTCGTGCGGATTCGCTGTTTCTGACAGATGTTGACAGTGGGGGAGGCTGAGCGCGTGTGAGGGCCGCACGGCGGCCGGGAAACCTCCGCCCAGTTCTGTCGTGAACCTAAAACCACTCTGAAAAAGTTTATTTTAGGGGCGCCTGCGTGGCTCAGTCGTTAGGCGTCTGCCTTCGGCTCAGGTCATGATCCCGGGGTCCTGGGATCGAGCCCCGCATTGGGCTCCCTGCTCGGCGGGAAGCCTGCTTCTCCCTCTCCCGCTCCCCCTGCTTGTGTTCCTGCTCTCGCTCTCTGTCAAATAAATAAATAAAATCTTAAAAAAAAAAAATCAGGGAGGATGAGTCCCGGGCAGGAAAAACAGGAAGTGTGAGTGTGAAACCCCTGAGGTCCTAGGGAAGAGGAAAAAAGCCAGTGACCAGAGTGTCACCGTTGGGAGGACCTGTTGGGGCAGCTGGGCCACGGTGAGGAGCTAAAATATTATCCTAGACGGGCTGGTAAGACATTGAGGAAGGTCAAGCAGGGGACGACACGCTCTCACTTACATGGAAAGACCACTCCGGTCGCTCTACGGAAAAGGTTGCAGGAGGGCACCGGGCCGCTGCCATCCGGCAGGCAAGTCATGATGGGCGTGCAGTGAGCACAGTGTGGTTGTCGAATCACTATGTCGTACCCCTGAAATTGATGTCACACCACTTACGAAAGAGCTGCGTGCAAGACGGCAGGAAGCGGACGGAGTTTTTAGGACCTACTGTCTGGCTCACTGCAGAGTGCGGGGGACAGAGGAAGTGAAGATGCCTTGAGGGAGGGAGGACTGGGTAAACAGGTTTGGAGAAAAGTCAAAAGTTCTCTATGGGTGACTAATTTTTTTTTAAGATCTATTTATTTTTTAGAGAAAGAGAGTGTGAGCAAGCAGGGCGGGGGGGGGGGCAGGGAGGGGCAGAGGGAGAGAGAATCCTGAAGCAGACTCCCCGCTGAGGACGGAGGGGACACGGGGATCCACCCCAGGACCCTGAGATCAGGACCCGAACCGCAATCCAGAGTCAGACGCTTAACTGCCTGAGCCACCCAGGCGCCCCTCTCTATGGGTTACTTTAAGTTTGAGGGACATGTTTGGGATCGGCAGTCCTTCTCTGCTCTTTCTTACTTAATCCAGGACCTCCCACCTCTTGAGGAAGCCTCCCTTGTAATCTCCAAAATCCTCCAGGGCAGGACCGTATTCTAGAATCAAGTTTTCCACCGTGGTTCCTACAGTTCCCTTATCCCCAGAGTGGAGGAAACACAGGCACCGGAATGCACACACTGAGCTCCTGTAGGTCCCCGGGTTGAGTGCGGATAGCCTTGGGGGCCCGGAGTCTACTCTCAGCCTCATGCCAGGGGCTGAAGATAGGTTCGGCATCACACCCCTGTGGGAATGACGGCTTTCAGGGCTGGCCCACAGCGCTCCCGGGGGCCCCCTTTCCCGCCCGACACCCATCTTAAATGCTATTTGCAAACAAGGTCCACCTTTGTCCCCAAAGCCAATGTAGTCACGCTGCTGTTCCCGACAAGACGAGGTGACAGAGGTGAGCGTGGAGGGAGGGGACCATGAGTCTGGGCCGGAGATCTGCTGTCCTCTAGCCTTTGGGTCAGTAGCCAGCCACGATGACAAGCAGGAGGCAGGCTGAGGGGAGGTGACCCCAGTCCCAGTCAGGAATCTGAGTTCCACCCTGGGCTTGAGCAGGGAAGGAGGTGGGCCATTTGTGGGAGGCCCCATTTCAACCACACCTTGGTGTCCTAAGGACCTGGGTATGGTGGAGGAAAGGGAGTGTGGGGGAAGGCAGGCTGGAGAAAGCGGCTTGAAAACCATTCTTGCAAAGGCTTGTCTCCCTCTCAGCTCAGAGCAGAGCTTTGTCCACACAGGAATGGGCCAAACAAGTGCAGCCTTGAGGTCAAGAAAAGAACCTCAGAGCAGATCCTCTCGGACAAACGGTTTATTGAATTTTACGTCACTATGGGGTGTCTCTCGTTGTATCCTAGAACTCCAGGCATCAGGGGGGTGGTAAAGTGGCAATGGTGAATTTGGGAACCTGGTCTCCCAAAAGTACCTGCCGCTCCACCCCTGATTCCGCGATGGCTGCCAGGCGGACCACCCCTCCACTGGAGCCGTCCCGCTCCATGGCCAGGGCAAGAGCTGTGAACAAAAGGAGAAAGCTGGGGTCAGTGAGATTCTGGCTTCGCTACAAGAAATGAGGAATGGGGGCGCCTGGGTGGCTCAGTGGTTAAGCGTCTGCCTTCGGCTCAGGTCATGATCCCGGGGTCCTGGGATCGAGTCCCACATCGGGCTCCCTGCTTGGCAGGAAGCCCGCTTCTCCCTCTCCCGCTCCCCCTGCTTGTGTTCCTGCTCTCGCTATCTCTATGCCAAATAAATAAATAAAATCTTAAAAAAAAAAAAAAGAAATGAGGAATGGATACGAAAGTACTTGGACATGCGGGTTGGCGCTCACAGGCCCAGAAACCCAAGTTCTCACCATTGGCAGTGAACTGGAGACACTCTTCCTTGGTCATGCCTTCCCGGTAGGTAGCATCGACGTAGCCGTAGATGTAGGAGCTCCCAGAGCCCCCAATGGCAAAGGACTGCCTCACCATCATGCCCCCCATGGGCACTGAGTACACCTGCCGGGTGGGAGGAGGAGAAGAGTCACCAGGTGTACTTTTGGTAACACACGTCCATACACCGGTCTGAGTGGGATCGGTCTGGGAGGAGTTAACAGTAAGTGAGGCAGGGGCTGGGAAGAAAAACAGAAAATGGCTGGGGTGCGGAGAGGCTCAAAGGCCTGGCTCCAGGGCTCTGATGGGGGTGGGGCGGGGGCGCCTCACCTGCCCTCCCTCTTGGGGGTCCCAGCCCGCAATGATGATTCCCGCCATCAGGTCCTCTCGGTACCGATAGCACATCTCCTTGAAGAGGCTGGCTGCTGTATGTACCAGCGGAGGCTCGTTCAGCTCAATGCTAGAGGGTGAGGCGAGTGACAGGAAAGACAGCGTCAGGACCCGGGAGTCAGGCCACTTAGCACCTCGGGTTGCAACTCCCTGCAGACACTTGCTCCTCCCCCGCCCGCAAGTACCTGTGGAAACCAAGCTGGTAAGTGACCGCATCGGCTACTGCCTGGGTATCGGCCGCTGAGCCTGAGCGGCAGCAGAAAATACGGTCGTGGATAGGGGTCAGCTTGTCAGTCACTCGATTGGCGATGTAGGACCTGCAGGGTGGCAGGGCAGTGAGGGAGCGATCCCACTTGTCTCCCACCCCCACCCCATTACTACCCGCTCCTGGGGCTCAGGAATAGGAATTCCAGCAGTCCCCATCAGTTCTCACCCAAACTGAAAGCTAGCTGGAGAACAGACTTTTCGCAAAGATTTCACCAAAGGGTGAGAGGGAAAACTGGGGAGCAGTAGGAGCTGGAACCAATCCTTAAGTCCAAGGAGGGGAGAAACCTCCCTTCCCGCGGTGGGCCGCGGAGGGTAAGAACGGACTGCTAGGCAAGGAAGGGAAGGAAAGGGAAGGAAGGAAAGGGAAGGAAGGGAGGGAGGGAAGCAAAGGCGGGACGACCGGCCGGTATCTGTCCTAGGCTCACCCAGTGGTTGTTCTGGAGTCGGCTCCCAGAACCACGCCCCCTTCAAACTGCACGGCCATGATAGTGGTCTGGGAGAAAGGAAAGGGGTGAATCTGGCCCTCCTCCCCATTCTCCCGCATTCACAAACTTCACCGACCCCTCAATGCAGTCCCTGGAGTAGGCAAGTCGTGCGCCACCGATCCGCCATCCAGTCTCCTGAATTCCAGAATTCCAATCCTCAGATCCCCAGAGGCCCATCCGGGCCTGAAACCCTCGTCCCGCAAGATCCCGGGACTCCGCGCCCCAGCCTCCCCTCCCCACCACTCTGCAACATCCTCAGGATACCTCTTCCCTGCTACAGCGCATCCGCCCACCTCCCTCCCCCGCCCTCCCGTTTCCCAACCCACTCAGGCCTCATCCTCCCATCGCACCAAGCCTTGGGCACATCTCCTGAACCCCGAGCGCCTCCTCACCCCCGTGGAGACTTCGCGGCTTCCCCAGTCCGGGGTAATGGCCTCGGGACCCCAGGCCGGCGTGGACCCCGCTCCTCGAGCGGCTACTAAGGTGGCCGCCATCTTCCTCCTCCAGCACTGCCCCAAAGCAACTGTCGTAAAGCGCTCTGTCACGCTCTTCAGTCCCGCGGTGAAGCCGTCTGCCGGCGAAGCTAAGTCACGGTTGACGGCAGAAGGGAAAGGAACGGCGCAGGGAGGGTTCTTTTGCGACAGTGAGCGCTCGACGGCAGCGTGGCCTGCCGACACACAGAAAAGCGCCCGAGACAGCGTGGACGGCCTACGTTTCCCATGGGGCTGCGCGGGAGTGACGTAATCTGATGGGAGGGGCAGTTCAGAGTGTTGGGATGCGCTTGAGCGTCTCTGAATTAGAATGGCCACGCTGCTCTCGTTTCTCTTAGGTGTATACACCCAGGACCGTATACTAGGAGCGGAATGGCTGGGTCATGTAGAAACTCTAGACTTAGCATTTTGAGGAAATGACAGTTTCCCATAGCAGCTGCCCCATGTGATGGCCCACCAGCCCCGTGTGCATGCCTGAGCGTTGCGATTTCTCCACATCCTCGCTGACGGTCACCGTGCCGTCCTCGTGGGCGTGAAGTGGCATCTTGTGTAGCTGCTCTTCCCCGCCCCCCGCCCCATTTCCTTAATGATTAGTGATGTTCAGCATGTTTTCACGTGCTGGCCATCTGTATATCTTCTTTGGAGAAATGCCTATTCAAATCCTTAGCCCTTTTTATTTTTATTTTATTTCATTATTATTATTTTTTAAGTAATCTCTACACTCATCGTGGGGCTCCGATTCACAACGCGAAGATCAAGCATCACATGCTCCAGCGACTGAGCCAGCCAGGTCCCCCCCAAATTGGATTATCTTTTTATTGTTGAATCCTAGGTGTTCTTTTTTATTTCTATTTACTAGGCCTTTGGCAGACATAAGATTTGCAAATATTTTCTCCCATTCTCTAGATTGTGTTTTCACTTCCTTCATTGGTATTCTTTGCAATGCAAACATTTAAAATTTTAAAAAATATTTTATGTATTTGAGAGAGCATGAGCAAGGGGAGGGGCAGAAGGAGAAGCAGGCTCCCTGCTTGGTGCAGGGCTTGATCTCAGGACCCTGAGATCGTGACCTGAGCAGAGAAGACAGACGCTCAACCGACTGAGCCACCCAGGTGCCCCTCCACTCTGATCTTTATTATTTTTTTCTTCTGCTTTTTTTTTTTTTTAAGTTTTAGTTTGCTCTTCTTTTATAGTTTTTTTTTTTTAAGATTTTATTTATTTATTTGACAGAGAGAGACACAGCGAGAGAGGGAACACAAGCAGGGGGAGTGGGAAAGGGAGAAGCAGGCTTCCTGCTGAGCAGGGAACCAGATGCGGGGCTCGATCACTAGCACCCTGAGATCATGACCTGAGCTGAAATCAAGAGTCGGACGCTTAACCGACCGAGCCACCAGGCGCCCCTAATCTTTTTTTATTTTCTTTATTTTTATTTTTTAATCTTTTAAAATTTATTGAGAGCCTAACATATGGTCTCTTTTGGAGAATGTCATATGTGCACTTGAGAAGAATGTGTATTTTGCCGTTGTTGTGTGGAGCGGTCTTCCTATGACTCTGCTGTAGTCCTCTACATACCACAGCTGGAGCTGGTTTTTGAATTGCAAGTATGGTCTAAACAATCCCCTGCTTAAAATGAACTCTGGAGATAAAGTCCTATCTCTGTAAGGTAGTTTGTCACATCCTTCTTGAACTTGCTCCTGACTACCTGTCCAGAATCACATCTCCTCTTTACTTTTTAATTTTTTATTGTAGTAAAATACAAATAACGTAACGTAAAGTTCAGCATTTTAACCATTTTTGATGTATGACTCAGCAGCATTAAGTATATTTGCATTACTGTGCAACCTCCTCTTTTCTTTTGGACTCTGGGCTCTGGCCATCTTTTCGTGCTCAGACATTCATTTAACAAAAAGCTGTTGAATGTCTACTAGGAGACAGACACTGTTTGAGACACTGGAGGTACATCAGGGAACAAATTTCTGTCTAGAAATTCGCTGCCCCATACAGCTTATATTTCTCAATGGAAACAAAACAAAACAAATAAGTACAACATACAGCATATTATTAGATAGTGACTCATATTAAGAAAAAAAAAAAACAGAGTAGGGAAGGGAAATAGGAAGTGTGTGTGTGTGTTGAAATTTTAGAAAGAATCATCAGGGAAGGTCTCCCTGCGGAGACATTTGAGTAAAGTCCAGAAGGAACTGAGGGAAGTCATGTCTCTATTTGGTGGAAAAGCATTCCAGACAGAGGGAAGAGCAAGTACAAAGATCTTGAGGCAGGGGGTGCCTGAGTGGCTCAGTTGGTTAAGCGACTGCCTTCGGCTCAGGCCATGATCCTGGAGTCCCTGGATCGAGTCCCGCATCGGGCTTCCTGCTCGGCAGGGAGTCTGCTTCTCCTTCTGACCCTCCCCTCTCTCATGTGCTCTCTCTCATTCTCTCTCTCTCAAATAAATAAATAAAATCTTAAAAAAAAAAAAAAAAGATCTTGAGGCAGGATCATGCCTGAAATATTGAATGAAAATCAAAGAGGTCAATTTGGCTAGTACAGAGTCAGATCACATAGGACCTTTACGAAGCTTTTCATCATTTTCAACTGAAAATATGATCCATTCTCAACTGAAAATATGATCCAACTGAAAATATGATCCAAAATATGACATTTACGCTTAAATTAAAAAAAATTTTTTTTTTCATCTGAGTGCAACAGGGAGCCACTGGAAGGTTTTGAGCCTGGAAGTGATGGGATATGATCTATATTTTAAGAGATTACTTTGGCTGTTCCATTGAAAATACACATTCGGGAAATCGAGTATGGGACAGAGAGACAATTAGGAGGCTACTGTAATAATCCAGGTGATAAAGTTGGCTCGACAAGGGTGGTGGCAGTGGAGATAGTGGGAAACGGTCAGATTCTGACAGATTAGGTGTGGGTGTGATGAAAGAGAAACAGAAGTCAGGATGACTACCAAGTTGTTGGCTTAAGGACCTGGAAGAATGGAGTGGTCACTTACTGAGCTGGCAAAGACTATGAAGGAAGTGCTTGGGGAGGAGGAAAGGGCATCAGAAGCTCAGGTTTGGACCTGTTAGGTTCGTTAGGTCTGGTAGAAATCCGGGTGAAGGTATCTAATAAGTAGCTGTATATATAGGATTCTGGGGCGCGGGGGGGAATGGGCTGGACTCCCAATCTGAGAGTTCCCAGCGTGTGAAATGGCCACACACCTTCCCGTTCCCTATTGTTGTGGGAGGGGCCAAGGAGGTCTTTAATGAACAGACCCTATCGAGCCGAGCGCCCGCTCGGTGTGAGTGGTGACGCACCGGTTTTCGGCTCGCGTAGCTGAAAGGAGAGGGTGCCACTTATGGGCCGAGACAGGGGACACACGGAGAGGGGCAGCTCTGGCAGGGGCGGATGGATCCGCGTGGGACGTGTTGCATTTGCCGGCCCAGGGCGCGGGTCTGGGCTGGAGACTTGGCACGCGGCCGTGGGAGCGGCTGGGAGCGGGCCCCGGGAGCGTGTCTCGGCTGCCGGGAACAGGGATGACACATCTCCCCAATCCATTGTTTCCTGCTTCCCTTAAGCGCCTGCCGTCATCACACGAGACGCCCGGAGTCCACGGCTACCCAACCACACTCGTTCCCACAGCTCCGCCCCTCGCCCCGCGCCTGCGCAGAGCGGGACGGGCGCTACACCCACCCCGCCGGGGGCGGGCCTTGCAGGCGGAGCCGTCGCGCGGAGGCGTGGCTCCGGCGGCCCCGCCCCCCGGCCGAGCGCCGGGGGCCGGCCGGCCGGACGCGGGTCGCTCGCGTCTCGGCGGGTCCCGGCCGCGGGGGGGGGGGGCCTCAGGCCAGCTGGAGGAGGCCGCGCTCGGCCAGCAAGCCCTGGGTGCGGTTGAAGACATCCTCCAGGGTGCCCGCCGCCCGGAGCAGCGCGGCCCGCGCCTCCGCCTCCCCGGCGCCCGGGCACGCCAGCTCGAGCCAGCGGTCGCGGCCCGGGAAGGCGAGGAACGCGAGGCGGGCGGCCTGGCGGACCAGCCAGGGGTGGTGCGGGCCCAGGGACGTGCGGTACGCGTCGCTGCACTGCGCGCCGGCGTCCGGGCCTCCGAGCGCCCCGGTCGCCACCCGGTGGAGGCAGAGCTGGGACCAGCGCAGCGCTCGGTGCAGCAAGAGCAGGATCCGTGAGCCCGAGGAGCTGGCGGTGTCTCGGGGGGCGATCCCGGGGCGCTCCAGCAGTCCCTCCCGCCGCTCCCACGCCACCATGGCCGCCAGCGAGGAGTAGTGCGCCGCCTCGGGGCCGTGCACCCGAGCCTCGAGAGCTGTCACTTTGGCGAAGGCCTCGCCCGTGGCGAAGGCGAAGATGGAGCCGAGGGGAGTTAGGAACCTGCGTGTTCCGTGGCGGGCAGAGCGCGGTGGTTGGGGAGGGGGCGGGGGACTCCGGGGGGCGGGCGCCGGGGGGGGTGGGGGGCGCGAGACCGCTCACCTGACCAGCGCCCTCCATCCGGCTAGGTACTGCGACAACGCCACATCCCCTTCGGGGTCCAGACTGGCGCGGAACGGCCACATCACGCGGCCCACCACCCCCTGGGGGCCCACACATCGAGGCTCTTCCCCCTCGGGGGCCTCCAGGGGACCCGACTGCCGCGGGACCTGGGGGGAGACACGGGCGAAGGGGGCGGGAGCGGAACCCCTAGCCTGCTGGGCCTCCTTCGCCCCGCAGCCCAGTGGGGCCCTGCAGAAATGACTCCTACGGCTGGCGTCTCTCCTGCTGTACTCGGCTTCGGACGGGAGAGGGGACGCGAGGAGCAGGACCCGCCCGTCACCAGATCCTCAGCCCGGCCCCGCTCCCCGCGATCGGGGCCCCACCCGGAGCTCCCGGTCCTGGCCCCGTGCCGAGCATACCTGGACAGGCGATGTTCCCTCGGGAAGGCACGGCGGTGTCCCGGATCTGCAGCCTGAGAGGGCGCCTGGGGAGGGGCGAGGCCGGGCGGTGAGGGCGCGAGGAGGGGGCCTAGGTCCCCAGCGCTTGGCTTCCCGGTTCCTCCCAGAGCCGATGAGGGAAGGGACCGCTTACGAAAGCTCCAAGCGCAGAGATAAAGCAGCAAGAGGAGCGCCAGAGGAATCGCGTGGCGGACCCAGCGCCGCGAGGCCAGCGGAAGCAGCACGAGACCCACGGCTGCTGCTGGGGCCATCGCCCCCCTCTCCAGCCCCAAGCCAGCCCTTGTCCCTCCGCCTTGGGAGAAGCCTGCGGTGCCCTAAGTTGTTAAGGGTTAATAATTAACCTACTAAGTCCCCTTCCCCTGTGCTCTTTGCTCCAGAGGGCAGCATCCCAGCGGAGAAGGACAGGATGAAGAGGACTTGGGGTTGGGGGGGGGGTGGGGTTCGGCAGCAACCACTGGTCTCTGCGTTTGCCTTCCGTGTAGGGCCAGGTTGTAGTAAGAGGGAAGAGGAGCCGGGGTGAGAACCAGCTCCCCCACCGAGCAATGGGTGTGGGCCCTACCCTAACTGGGCTTGAATTCCCACCACCATAAATTGAGGACAATAAATAATAGGTACTTTGTCGATCTCATCCGAGGATTAAATGACAATGTGTGTGCAAACACTGTACAGGGAAAAGCTGACCACAATTGCTCCATAAATCTTAACCTATGAAGTTCAAACATAGGGCACCTGGGATCCAGGAAGCACCCACTTCTAAATTCACAATCCCGTCTCCAGGCGACCTGTCTTGACCTGGATGCTTTAACCGTTTACATTTTTGTGGTTTAATTCCTTTTAAACTCCGGATTGGTTCTGGTTCTGCGGTTATTCATTTTTTGTGTGCGTGATTTTTTTTTTTTTTTTTTTTTTAAGTAATCTCTATGCCCAACATGGAATGAACTCATGGCCCAAAGATCAAGAGTTGCATGCTCTACGGACTGAGCCAGGCAAGCACGCCCCCCGCATTATTCTTCAAACCAAACTTTATTAACTGTTTCTGCATCCAGGCCCTGTAGTAGGCCTCAAGGGGACAAAAGAGCCTTCACACAGCTCAAGGTCCATTGGAAAATGTATCGTCTGTCTCCCCCACGTGGATGTGGGCTCTGATGAAGACAGGGGCCTTGTTTTACAAGGGTTTCCCGGTTGCTGTTCTATTTGCAGCACTTAGAATATTGCCTGGGCCCAAATACATTATTGCTATATAAATATATATTGGCTAAACACAGGAAAGTGTGTGGAGAGCAGGCAAATCGGGTGGTGTGCCCCATGACAGATGAGCCATTGTTTTTTCTTCCCGAATTAGGAGTCCACCTGGTGGTCAAAGCTAGGAAAACATTCAGGGGAAGGACCCAGGAAGCGACAGAAGAAGCAGCATCTCTTGTTCCTAGGGGCTTCTCAATCCCCTGTCCATAAACTTCCTAGAATTGTTCCTGTCTGTGTATACTTTCTTCTCCGGGGAAGGGGTACCCCAGATTATCTGGGAGTCAGGGCCCCAACCACTAAGAAGATCCTTTCTAGCTCCCACAGTTTCTGGATTCTTGCCCTATCTCTCCCTCTAATGCTCCCTCTAATCCTGGAGGTCCCTAAGGTTGCTGCTGACCAATCCTGTCCAGCATTTCAGAGCATCACTTCCATCCCTAGACTTAGGCTCTCCACTTCCCAGTGTGGGAGCTGGGAGTTTCCCAGCTTGCTGACCGTGACCTTAGACAAGTTGCTTGCCATTTCTAAGCCCTGGTTCCATCACCTGCAGAATAAAAGGGTAATCCCCACCTCCTATACCATTTATGAGGATTGAATAACAAGGCCTGCAGGAAGTAACCACAAGCCATGGCCTGCGGTAAATGTTCAGCAGGGGGTGGTTTATTCAACTGGTCAGCTCTCTCGGCCCCTCCTCCAGCGCTGGGAGCCTCGGTCTCCCTGAGCAGAGAATGGAGTCTGCAGGGTTCCCGGAATGGATTAGTTTCAGGTGTCACTTAATCCGGGAGGCCCTTCCGTAATCAGAGCCTTCAGAGCGGCAGAGGGGGTATAAATCGCGAACGGGGCCCACCTCACAGGCTGCAGAATGGAGAGGGGGGCCGGAGCCCAGCTGTTCCTCCTGCTGTGGGCCACCTGCTGCGGACACGCACAAGCCAACAGCCCGAGCGACTACGGTTCGGTCATCAACGTGACCAATGGGGGTCCTTGGGGCGACTGGGCCTGGCCCGAGATGTGTCCTGATGCATTCTTTGCCAGCGGGTTCTCGCTCAAGGTGGGGGTTCAGGCCTAGGTCTCCGAGGAGGGAGACGCACGACCCTGTGCCCGGGGACACAGGCTGGCAATCTTTTAACTGGTCCTTGTCCCTCTGCTCCTCTTGGCCCAGGAGGAGCCCCCCCAAGGCATTCCTGGCGACGACACTGCTTTGAACGGAATCCGACTGCACTGCTCACGCGGGAACGTGGAGCACAACACGCACGTGGTGGAGTCCGAGTCTGGAAGGTGCGGGACAGGGGCCAAGGGCCCCCCAGGATGCGGCTATGCCCCTTACCCTCTGTTACATGCCCACCCTCCCCGTTAAAAGGTTCCTCCAGGGCTGTGGGGCAGTTTAGAGCTGGGGAGTGGGTGGAAGACCTCCCCTCCGCCCCTGGGTGGAGGTCAGGTGACGGACCCCACCCACCCAGGGCCTGCAGCACTGGCTGAGGAGTCCCCAAGGCTGGGTCGGAGTGGGGGTGGGGAGGACCCAGAGGCAGCACTTCTCCCCTTCCCTCACAGGTGGGGCGCATGGAGTGAGCCCCTGTGGTGTCCCGGCGGGGGCTTCCTCGTGGCTTTCTCGCTGCGCGTGGAGGCCCCCCAGACCTACGGGGACAACACAGCAGCCAACAACGTTCGCTTCCGCTGCTCAGACGGCACGGAGCTGGAGGGGCCCGGCCTGGCCTGGGGCGACTTTGGAGAATGGAGTAAGCCCTGCCCCAAAGGCATTTGTGGTTTGCAGACCAAGGTGGAGCAGCCGAGGGGCCTCTGGGATGACACTGCCCTGAACGACGTGCGCTTTTTCTGCTGCCGCAGTTAACGAGGGCGCCCGCCCGGGGGCCGGTCCCACCGCTCGCTATTAAAGCTTCTCTGTCTTGGCTCTGGTCTGGCTTGTTTCAGGGGTAGGAAACTGCGTCTCCTTGCCTTCCTCCCAGCCCGACACTGGGCCAGGCCCAAAGTCGGGTTTGGGCTCAGGCGTCCCGGCAGGCCACTGAAAGGTACGGACCCATAACCCAGGAAAATGCCCTTAAACACAGTTCTGCGCCCGAGTTAAGGAAGTCCCTGGCTTCCTGAGGGCGTCGGCAGACTCCTCGTCCTCATTAAGAGCTCAGACTGTTTCCTTTCTGAACTACCAGTGACCTCAGATTGAGAAACTCCTACCAAGTTAGGTGACGATAAAGCTAAAACCTCCTAAGCTTTCATTTTCTAGAGCTTAAGCTGATCTGTCTTTTCCACAGTTTCCTTCCTTTCCCTACAAAAGTTAAAGAGTGGCTTTTCCACGGACGGATTTCCGCCTGGGACCTTTGTCCTTGCTGCTCCCCGCCTGGAACCGCCCAGCTACCCAGATGGCTAACCCATTCACCAGATTTCGGCTCCAATTTCACTTTCTCAGACTTCACCTTGTCTTAAAAGGTCCCTCCAGCAGCCAATACCTATCCCCTTACCAGCGTGTTTTGTAAAAAGTGAAGCAATCTATTGCCTTTTCAAAAAAAGGTACCCATCCTAGACCCCTGGGTTCTTAGATTCTCTGAGCGCACAGAACTTGCCTGTCTTGTTTACACCGACAGCTCAGTACCTCCTTGCTAGCACTTGCAGGGGTCCCACGCAGGAGCGCCCCCAGGCCCTCTGTACCTGAAGGCACCGTGTGAGACGCGCACGAGGGTTCAAAGGTTTATTTCCAGGGCGGGGTGGGCCAGGCGCGCGTCCAGGAGCGGGCAGGCGGGTCAGCGCAGCCTCAGCGAGGGGCGCCCTGCGGAAAAGAGAAGGTGAGGACGCAGCCAGGGAGCACGGAGCCTCTCGCTCCAGCTCCCGCCCTCGCCGCCCCACCTCCTTCTTCCTGCAATCGCCGCAGAGGACCCCGAGGGTGGCGTTCACCAGCTGCACCCCGCACAGCACCATCTCCAGGCACGAGGCGGCCACCAGCAGCGAGAAGAGCGTCACATGCCAGGAGACCACGCCAGGCGGCTCCACGCACAAATCCCACAGAGTCCGGTTCTGCAAGTAAGAGCCTCTGCGGGGTGGGGGGCAGGGTCTCGTGGGAGAGGCAGGGCGCTCGGAGTGCCCTCCCTCCAGCCCCGCGCAGGCGCCGAGCGGGGTTTGGCCCACGTGGAGGTGGCTCCCGCGAAGGCGCGCCCCGTTCCCGGTTCCCCGAGTTCCCCATCCAGGTGGGAAAGGCAGGGAAGGGGGGCGCGCGAAGCCTTACGCGGTGTCTCTGAAGTGGTAGTCCCACCGGCGGTCCATTAAGCATTTGGGTCCAATTCGGAGCCCGGCTCCCGACACCGAGAGGCAGTAGATGGCCCCCAGCACCCCGACGGCCGAGGAGAAGATGGAGCGCAGCATCTGGATGCGCAGGGCAAGGGGAGGTGAGCGGGGCCGCGTCCTCCCGCGTGCGCGCACCTTAGCTCGCCCGGCTCCAGGCGCGGGAGAGATTCGTCTCCCCGCAAAGCCCGGGGCTGGGCCTTAGCCGCCCCTACGAGCCTCGCGGAGGTTCGTGGGGGTCATGGCGCCCTTTGCAGGCCCCCTGAGGCCGAAGTTGGGGGGCGAGGGAGGGGCGAGGCGGAGCTGGGACTGGGCCGGGGGAGCTCCCGTGGCTAGGGGGACCGTGGCAGGTGTGGCTCTGCGAAGGCCGGTTCAGAGACCCAGCCCCGAGTCCTGCCCGCGTTTGGGGCTTACCCTGCAACGATTTCCACAGCAGCCCGCACCGCAACAGCCTTTGCCCCCTGCCCGAACCGCTGCGATGCCCGGACACAGCACCTGCGGAGGAGGGTCGGTGTGACAGCGAGCCCCCCTGCCCCCCATCCTCCACACCTTCCGTGCATCGTGCGTGGGTGCTCATCTTCCTCCTGGAGCTGCCTGGGATGCCCTCAGCCCTCTGGACCATAGGAAGACCTCGTCTCCATTACTCCCCGAGAGCCTTTGGGTTCTACTTTATCATTATCTACCTGCCTACTTATCTGTGTTCAGATTGCAGCCTCCAGGAGCGCAGGGCCCAGTGTCATGGAAGCCTCCACAAATCCTTTCACCTAGTAGGTGCCCCGCTGAGCCGGAGTCAGGGGGCCTGGGGTTAAGGCCCACCTGTGCTCACTTCACGCTCCATGAATTGATTCATCTCTGTGGGTCTTCAAGACCTACCTCACAGGGCTGTGCTCAGGATTTAATGAAATAACAGGTCGCCCTGAGGTCAAGACTGGCTTGGTAACTACAAGTCCCCTCGGCAGCAGGAAGGGTCAGTGGTGTTGGAGTGTCTGGTGAGCTAGGATTAGGTGGAGGGGGGAGGAGGATGTTAGTGAATGCTCTGATGGGAAGTGTAAGGACCCCCAAGGTCCGACCCTGGTCCTTCTTGTCCTTCTTCCTCCTGTGGCCCTCCCCCCAGAGCCCATCCCTGTCCTCTGGGACAGTACTCACCCCCAGATTCAAATCTACGTGCTGAAGGTTATTTTTCTTTCAGTGTCTCGGCTCAAACCAACCAGCCACATACTGACCTCGCAGGTCTGCCAAAGTTCCCGAAATTCACCTCCCTGTGACTTTTTTTTGTCTCCATCGGTGTTTATATTCTTCAGGTCACCCACGCTAGAAAACTGGAATCCTTTACACCCAGCCAGCCCTCAAGTCTTCTCGACTTTTCCTTTAACGGTTTTCCAATCTGTCTGTCCTTTTGTCTGCACGGTCCCCTCCCCTATCACCTCCCACAAGGATGACCTTCTCAGCTTCTCTACGAGTCGTCTGTATCTCTTGCCCCCATGCGGCTGAACACTCCATCCTCCATTGCTCCCACCACAGTGAACTTAGCTTTCAACGGGGGCTTTTCTCTGCCCAAAACCTTCAGGGTGTCCTCAGAGAGTAGCCCATCAAGACTACGCTCTGGGTGGCTCAGTCGGTGGACCGGCCGCCTCTTGGTTTTCGGCTCAGGTCATGATCTCAGGGTCGTGGGATTGAGCCCCACGTTGGGCTCCGCGATCAACGTGGAGTCTGCTTGGGATTCTTCGTTTCCTTCTCCCCCGTCCTTCCCCCCACTCACGTGCACACACACGCTCTCTCTAATAAATAAATAAATAAATAAAGTCTTAAAACAAACAAACGACTGAGCTCCAGGAAGGCATTTGAGGCTCCTCGCTTTGGCTCTAGCCTTAATGTCTCGCATGGCGCCAGGTTCTTCGCCTGTCGCCCGCCTCTGGAATTCCACAGCTTCTTGATCTTTGCCTCCCTGTGCGGCCGGTGTGGTACAGAGCGCACCAGGCAGCATTTTATTTATTTATTTATTTATTTATTTTTAAAGATTTTATTTATTTATATGAGAGAGAGAATGAGATAGAGAGCACATGAGAGGGGGGAGGGTCAGAGGGAGAAGCAGACTCCCCGCCGAGCAGGGAGCCCGATGCGGGACTCGATCCAGGGACTCCAGGATCATGACCTGAGCCGAAGGCAGTCGCTTAACCAACTGAGCCACCCAGGCGCCCCAGGCAGCATTTTATTCTTCCCTAGCGGTGGGGCTGAGGGTTTTGATTCTGTTATCTCACGCATCGTGACCTCATAGGGAGCTGAGCGGAGTTCTGCTGCATGCTCCCTCTCCTCTCTTCCACGCCCCCCAGCAGGTCTAGAACCAGTGCTGGCCCCTTTGCTTCGCCTCTCTGGGTAGGACACTTAACTGGGAAGCTCCAGGATCCAGAGACACCTAGAATTGCCTTTGGGATTGACCAGTTTCGAATGACCAGCTACCTCTTTGAGATTTCTACTTCCTTAAAGTGTTTAAGTTCCTTTTGTCATCTGAGCTATCCCCTGTCTTACTGTCAAGAGAAGGGTCACGGTAAGCGCGGAAGGAAGCACTGAGTTTATAGCTCCCATCTGCTTCCTTGGCCCCTGGCCCATTCCCAGCCACTATCAACTCTCCCGGACAACCACAGTGACCTCCGTCTGCTCTTACGTCACCAGTTCCCCTCCAGCTCTTCCTCCACACAGCAACCAGGGGGACCTTCTAAATCCAGCAGGGTATGGAGCAACTAAAGCTCTCCTGTTTTGCTGATGGGAATGAACTTGGGATAAGAACTTCAGAAAACTTTTTGGCAGTATCTATCAGCACTGAATACTTGCACACCTTAAGAATTAACAGTTTCACCCCCTAAGTATCCATCCAACAGCAACGCAAACAGAACTTCACCTAAAGACATTTACAGGAATGTTTAGAGCAGCATTACTTGTAACAAACCCAAGCTGCGGCCTATCTAAAAGGCCATCGACAGTAGGATGTTTAAATTAATTTGCGGCCTCTTCACACACTGGAATGCACCAGAAATAATAGACTATGTGTCTACATAATGATACGGAAGAACCTCACAAACATATATTGAGCTAGAGAAGCCAGACACAAAATTGTTATACTGGATGATTCTATTTATATAAAGTGCTGAACAGGCAAAACTAGCCTGCGGGGCTAGAAATCAGGGTAGTGGGGACTCTCGTGGGTGTAGCGCCTGGTGTGGGAGGCCTGTCTGGGATTCTGGTAATGACCTGTATCTTGGTCTGAGTGCTGGGTACATGGTGGGTCCACTGTAAAAATTCACTGGGCTGGGGCGCCTGGGTGGCTCAGTCCTTAAGCATCTGCCTTCGGCTCAGGTCATGATCCCAGGGTCCTGGGATCGAGCCCTGCATCGGGCTCCCTGCTCAGCGGGGAGCCTGCTTCTCCCTCTGCCCCTCCCCCTGCTTGTGCTCACTCTCTCTCTCTCTCAAATAAGTTAATAAAATCTTTAAAAAAAACGTATACTCTCTTGCCTACAAGTGAAATTCAAAGGGGATAGAAGATGATGTTTAGGGAAAAAAATCCTATAAACAGTGCCCACTCCCAGCATGCTGCTTTGTTTCCTTGGTCGTACCTACTCCTGTCTGAAACCATCTTGCTCATTTGTTTACTTTGCTCACCGAGGATTAATCGAGTGCCCGTCAAGTACAGGGCACTGGACTAGGCAGGTACCTGGCACACGGAGCCAGCGAAACAGGCAGTCCTTGCTCTCATGGAGCGCCCATTCCTGCTTCCATGATACTGCGTTCTCTGCAGCGGGAACCCAGCTCCAGGGAGAGCAGGGACGCGGCCTGCGTCCCCGGGGAGCAGCAGGGACTGACTGAGCAGGCGAGCGGCTCAGGCCTGGAGGTGGGAAGAGGGCAGCTGGGAATGAGCATGGGTGGGGGGCATGCCCGGCATGGGGATCCCCACCCCCAGGCAGGCTGGTTAGATTGCAGGGAGGTGGGCATGGCGGGCTGGAGAGGAGTGCAGTGTGACACTGGGGGAGTGTGTAGGGAGGAATGTCTCTGTGGCCAGAGAAAGAGGCAAAGGAAGGTGAGCCCTTGTCCCAGGGACCTTCGTCCATCCGGGGACTTTCATCCATGGGTGGTGGGGTTCATCTGAGTAGTGAGGAACCCTGCTGGGTAGGTCTCCTGTCTTCATCCCATGATGCTGTTAAACTACCCTGACCTTCCAGAAGTTCCCCCGAACAGGGAGGGGTTGGAGGATGGGGACGAGGAGGTCTGGGAGAGACGTCTCCCCTGCCCCCACTTGTGACAGATGCGAGTCTCCGGGAAGACCTGGGGCACCTTCTCCACCACGCTGACCTGAGTTCTGGGTTGGTGCAGCACTGGGTGGCCATCCAGAAGTGTGGGCCGCCAGTGAGGGGACACGGAGGCGACAGGTAGAATGACGGGGCTGTGACCCCGCTCCTGACTCCAGTATCCCCACACCCACACTCCATGCCTGTTATCATCTTGCCCTGATAAGCGCCCCACAGCTAGCTCTTCCCAGCGGTGCCCTAGCATCTGCTGCAGGGCAAGGGCTGGGAGGGACAGGTAGGACGCCCTCCCTACCCAGAAGGGAAGCTGCTTAGAGGCTCCTTCCTTCCTTCCTTCTCTTTTCCCATGCACGTTCAGCTCAGGTGCTGAACTCACAGGTGCTCACTATCTGGGGCAGGCTGGGAGGCCCCAAGCCCCCGCCAGGCCACTGGCACCCGGCCCCACCCCTCTCCCCTCTGCCCGCGCTCAGGACCCCACTGCCCAGTGGCGTCCAGCCCACTCACCATCAGGCCCCCGCCCAGGAAGCCAGCCATGAGCCAGACTTGCAAGCTGAGGTCTCTGGTGTTGGTCCAGGTGGTCTTGCCCTGAGGCACCAGCAAGAGGGTGTTGGCCACGATGCAGGTCAGGGACAGGGGGATGAGGGAGAGCCCCACGAAGCGGGAACACTTTCCAGTGCACATGGTGAGGCAGCCACGAGGATGTGAGCCCTGCGTGCAAGTGAGCCCGGGGTTCCCAGGTCCAGAAAAAAAAAAACAAGCCCGGAGCAAAGTACAAAGGTTTGGGAGAGATAAGAGAGGGAGGCAGGAGACTGGGCAAAGAGGAGGTGACGGTGGAGGGGGTGGGGAGCTTGACACGGAGGAAGTGGCCTGAGGTCGGTGGGTATTCTTGCTCCTTTCCTGCATGCACCTGCAGCTCTCAGCATCCCCCTCCCTGTGAGCTCCTCGCTGGCTTTGTGACTCAGCCTGGCCCCAAGCCTGAGTCCCCGTGGCTTCGAGGGCATGAAGGCTGGAGTGACCCCATGTCTTGTGTGGTAGGTCATGCGGATGGAATGGGACCGTGTGAGGAGCGTTTTGTAAACTGGGCTGTGCTCAGCAGGCGTGCGGTGGCCCCCTCGCTCCCAGTGGGCCCTCGAGGAAGGGCCTTCCTGGAAGGAAACTAAGAGGACACTGGTGGACCCTCATCATCCGCTCATTTCTGCTGTCAGTACTTGTTTAAAAAGCCCTCCTCGGGCGCCTGGGTGGCTCAATCGTTAAGCGTCTGCCTTCGGCTCAGGTCATGATCCCGGGGTCCTGGGATCGAGGCCCACATCGGGCTCCAGGCTCAGCGGGAGCCTGCTTCTCCCTCTCCCACTCCCCCTGCTTGTGTTCCCTCTCTCACTGTGTCTCTCTCTGTCAAATAAATAAATAAAATCTTTAAAAAAAATAAAAAGCCCTCCTCCTGGGACACCTGGGTGGCTCAGTCGTTGGGGCGTCTGCCTTCGGCTCAGGTCATGATCCCAGGGGCCTGGGATTGAGCCCCACGTCAGGCTCCCTGCTCGGTGGGGAGTCTGCTTCTCCTTCTGTCCCCCACCTCCCTTGCTCATGCTCTCTCTTTCTCACACTCTCTCTCAAATAAATGTATAAAAATCTCAAAAAATAATAATAAACTTAAAAAAAAACCAAAATCATAGGGATTCTGAAAATTTCCTGCAAAAAGAGGGGTGGGGCACATCATCCTGAAGACTGAGAGAGAGAAAAGAACACTGGAGAAATACTTACTGTAGGATTTGGGCGGGATTTTCAGAAAGGTTTTCACTAGAATTCTCCTGGAAGCAGGAGCAGAACATCGTAAGATAGAAAGGTTGGGCTGTGAAGGGGCCAGCATGTATTTTGGGGAGAAAAGAGAGAATTGCTCAAATTCCTCAAAATGCGCAGAGAGAATCAAAGCCCACACGGGAGAGCAGGACTGCCACGGGGACGGAGTGAGTGAGGGGTGCAGGGGACACGCTCGAGATGTCCCTCCGGGTAAGGAAACTGGCTGTTTCCAATGACCCAGTAGAGCTGGTGGCCGAGATGCCTCAGTCCACAGTCTGCGTGAGGAGCAAGCTGCTCTGGGCATGGGTCCACCTGCGTCCGCCGGTCAAAAGGCACAGTGCATCCCAGGAAGATGTTAAAAGCCAGCCGAACCTGGATTCATCTTGAAGAACCACATCATGAAAGGATCCATGTAGGCAGCATTAAAGGTCACCTAGAAAGGAACAAAAGTTGACCTGGCCCGAGATTTCTCTGTGGCCCTAAATGCCGGAAGACAGAGAAAAGGGGTCTATGATTCTGACAGCAAGCAAAGCATTATGTCCCAACAATCGTATGAATATCCAAGGTGCTTTTTGTGTGTGGGAAGGACAGTAGAATCACATTTCTGAGAATGCTTGGGTTTGAAATACAACTCTGTCTCTTTCTTCTCCTTTATTAATTCCTTTTAAAAGTATTTGAAGTCACCGAGAGATGTAGTAAAAGAAAAATTCCCCAAGTGGGGGAATTCCTGACGTAACTCTAAATAACTTTTGTAAAACTGAGTTGTGAAGCTGAATGTTGGTTTCAAAAAGAAAAGCCTTTTTTTTTTTTTTTTTTTTAATTTGAGACAGAGAGAATGAGAGACAGAGAGCACGAGAGGGAAGAGGGTCAGAGGGAGAAGCAGACTCCCTGCCGAGCAGGGAGCCCGATGCGGGACTCGATCCCGGGACTCCAGGATCATGACCTGAGCTGAAGGCAGTCGCTTAACCAACTGAGCCACCCAGGCGCCCAAGAAAAACCTCTTAAAGAGAAAAATACATATAAATCCTAAAAATTATATTAACAGTTGTAAAGATGTCCATGGTTTATTGTATGCTGCGCCCAGAGTCCATTTTAAGGAAATAAATACAAAATAACAGAAAACCCAACTCTACGGAAACCAAAAGGGAATCTATTGGTTCAGGTAATCAAAACGCCCAAAGGTAGAACTAACTTTCAAGCATGATTCATAAAGAAGTCATCGATAGGCTGGACTTCATTAATATTAAAAACTTGTGCTCTGCAGGAGACACTATCAGGAGAATGAGAAGACAAGCCACAGACTGGGAGGAAGTATTTGCAAAAGACACAGCTAATCAAAGACTGTTACCCAGGACATACAAAGCATTCTTAGGGGATGCCTGGGTGGCTTAGTTGGTTAAGCGTCTGCCTTCCGCTTGGGTCATGATCTTGGGGTCCTGGGATCGAGCCCCCACGTCAGGCTCCCTGCTCAGTGGGGAGTCTGCTTCTCCCTCTCCCTCCCCCTGCTCATGTGCTCTCTCTCTCTCTCAAATAAATAAATAAAATCTTTAAAAGAGCAACAACTCAACAATAAAAAAAAGAACAACCCGATTAAAAAATTGGGCAAAAGACCCAAATAGACACCTCACCAAAGAGGATGTCCAGGTGGCAAATAGCATATAAAAAGAAGTTCCACGTCATGTCATTAAGGAACTGCAAATACCCCAATAACAATGGGACACTGACACACACCTACAAGAATGGCCAAAATCCAAAATGTTGACAATACTAAGTGCTGATGAAGATGTGGGGAGACAGAAACTCTCAGTCCCTGCTGGTGGGAATGCCACATGGTGCAGCCACTTTGGAAGAAAATCTGGCAGTTTCTTATAAAACCAAACATGCTCACCATACAATCTCACAATCGGACTTTTAGGTATTTACCCAAATGAGTCAAAAACCTAGGTCCACACAAAGACCTGCACACGATGTTTATAGCGGCTTTATTCTGGACTGCTAAAACTTGGAAGCACCCAAGATGCCCCGTGGTAGGTGAGTGGATAAATAGACCGTGGTCCATCAGGACAGTACGCTATTGTTTAGCGCTAAAAAGCAATGAGCTTTCAGTCCACAAAAAGACATAAATGAGACTGAACTGCATAATGCTAAGTGAAAGAAGCCAATCTGAAAAGGCCACGTACCACGTGATTCCAGCCCTAGGATGCGTTGGAAAAGGCAAAACTCTGGGGACGGTAAAAAGGGCCGCGGGTGCGGGGGGCTGGGGAGAGGAGAGGGATGGACGGACAGAGCAGAGTGCACGTTTGGGGCAGTGAAATTATTCTGTGTGATGCTCTCATGGTGAAGCCAGGTCATGATACGCGTTTGTCAAAACCCACAGAGTGTCCAACACCGAAAGTAAACCCCACCATAAACTGTGGCCTTGGGTGATAATGATGAGTTTGTGTAGGTTCCCTGACTGTAACACATACACCATGCTGGGGGTAGGCGTTGACCGTGGCGGGGGGCGGGGGGGCCCTGGGGGTGTAATGGACACACTCCATACTTTCCACTCAATTTAGTGGCCCTAAACTGCTCCAGAAAAGAAGTCTGGTTTAAAAAAAAGAAAAAAAAAAAGTCTCCAAGCTAAGAGAGTAGATTTTTTTTTTTTAAAGATTTTATTTATTTATTTGACAGAGAGAGACACAGCGAGAGAGGGAACACAAGCAGGGGAAGCGGGAGAGGGAGAAGCAGGCCTCCCGCCAAGGAGGGAGCCCGATGCGGGGCCCGATCCCAGGACCCTCGGATCATGACCTGAGCTGAAGGCAGATGCTTAACCAACTGAGCCATCCAGGCGCCCCAAGAGAGTAGATCTTAAAAGTGCTCATCACAAGAAAAAAAGAATTGCATCAATGTGAGGCGCTGGATGTCAAGTACACTTCTGTTGGGGATCGGTTCACGGTAAATGCATGTATCACATCATTACGTGGTCCCCGTTAAACCTATGGAGCCTTATGTCGGTTACATCTCCCTCTTACAAAGTCTTCAAAAAGCTTACACTGTGTTTTCAGGTGGAGACAAAAGGCTAAGGCGTTGAGAAAGGCACAGAAACGAAGTAGTGGGGCGAAGATTTGGTGAGCGCGAGAGTCCGCCCTGTGGCCAGCACCTGCAGAACCAGGAAAGGAGCAGCGGCTTGGGAAGCGCCACTGGGGACAGTCGTGGGGGCTCCTGGGAAATGCTGCCTCAGCAGGGCCCCCCGCTGATGGTCGATGATCGATGATCGATCGCACAGAGCACAGGATCGGATGGCAAACGCCCAAGACATCGGTAACTCGATCAGGACGCGATTCGGGAGTCAGCCTGAAGACACGTTGGAAATAGGACAACTGGAGGTTATTTTGCGCGTAGCTCTCTTCCCCTGGCATGCGCCAGGGTGATTTTTCAAAGGGCTTGAAATTAACATAAAATACACATTTTAAGCGTTAAGAAAGCATCGCGTTAAGGCTTAACTGGCCGCATTTCTCCTTCGGGAGAGGCAGAGTAACAGGTGGTGGTGCAGTTGCAGGTGTCTGAGCTTGAGCGAGACTCAGGGCCCCTCCTGCACTTGGGGAGGAAGGCGATCTACTAGGAATTCGGGCTGATGAAGAACAGACACGGAGGCCGGGGCTAAGAGAGGCGGGCGGCCGCGGCTCCGGATCCAGGGCTCAGGGAATCGGAGCCACAGAGCCGGATGCAGGAGGCCCGCGCTCCTAGCCCAGGGCTCCTCCAGCCTGACTCCATACCCCTCTCCCCACCTGGGGCGCCTCGTTAAAGTGCTGTGGGAAGGGGCGCCTGGGTGGCTCAGTTGGTTGGGCGACTGCCTTCGGCTCAGGTCATGATCCTAGGGTCCTGGGATCGAGTCCCGCATCGGG